TTGAACATGTTTTTCAGCGCCGAAGTTCATGATCTGAATTATTTGCGCTGAAAGCCTAACCATGCTCGTAGCGAGTTGGAATACGTACCTGAGTGGTCTTTTTTCTCTCTCAACTGAAAGCCGCGAATCTGGAGTTATTGATACATCAGCACACTCCTTCTCAATCTCCGACCTTGAGAATAAAAGTAAACTTAGCACCTTGTGGATAACTTACCTCGCCATACACTGTTTTTCTGCGCTACAGAATATTTAGCCCCCCCCCCCCACACACACACACACTTGCATTCAACAACACGTCATACTCACAAACACACACACATGGTAATCCGACGTTTTCCCCCACTAACTTTCATGTGAAAAATGCCACATCAGGAGAACAAGTGCGCTTGGTTTGTTCTGCAACAGTGTCTGCACAAACCCGGAGGAAGGAGAGAGAACGTAATGAAAACCAGAGAGAGAGGGAGGGAAAGAGCTAACAGGTGACCGCTCACTGGTGGACCACCTGGACCATTTCAGAAAACATTAGGACAGATAGCAAATGATAGGCATCTTTTCTACGAATCTAATTCCATGAATGTCGGATTGGTTCAATTAAAATGTTCAGATGAGTCCAAATGACCTCACAAACATCAGCTTCGTTCTTTCTGTATGAAAAGTGGGATCTTAACTGGAAACAATTCATCAAAACAGTTTTATGGTTTTGTAACAAGTGATGGACTGTTTCATTTTTGTTGTTCTATCCAACGCCTTAGACTGAATTGACCAATACAAAAACATGAAATCCGATTTCAAGCGATTCGATTGGGTTTTTTCATAGGGAAATTCTATACATGAGAGTGAAACCAAATGTATTTTTCCCATAACTATTAAACTACAAGCTATCAACGTTGAAATTCTAGTGTAGAATAACCTTTGTTCAAATAAATACCAATGGTTTTACTTCCTTTTTATTTACTGGGCATGCAAATGTGCATTCAACTTTTAGAATTGGGGGTCGTGATCATACAAAGGCTGTGTCTTAATAAATACAGTAGTAGGGAAGATGGTTAATGGGGATAGGATTTGCACCGAAAACCCCCAGATTGCCGTTTTGATCATAATGACCATAATCATTCAATTGTCGTCACCATTACATGTTAAGATCAGTGGGTAAGAATTCGTCGAAGTGGATCATATTGGATCAGGCTCACTCAAATTCTCATCAGTGAATCGAAAGTATGTTCAAACCTTTCACGGACAACTAGTTGAGTAAAAGACATATTGAATTCCCGATTCAATCAAAAGCCCCGAATGAAACTCCTGTAAAATGATACCTAAGCTGAACCATTTTGATCAACCTAAAAGTCAAAGTTATACGACCATGAAAGATAATTCCATTATTTGTTAGCAATCAAAGTTTGTGTAATGACCAGCAAACAGCAATGAATAGCTGTTTTACCCCGTGGGGGACTAACCAAAAATTAGACATTGGGTCGTGAGGTGAAATCCTCCCACCTGAACTACATGGCTATATGAATGTAGACTGTAATGGATGAATGAGTCCATTCAGTTTAGTATATTCATTAAGTATGGTCGTTGTTTCTTCGGTGTGTATAAAGTTCACTCCTTGGACTTTCGTTTATTTCCTCAAGAAATAAAAACAGGGAAGCGTTTCATGGGTTAATTCGAACGCATTTTTTTCCGCAATCTTAGTTCTCTACTGTGCAGGTTAGATGTCAGAAAGCTTGTCCAGCACCGGCAAGTACCAAGGCTGATTATGAATTGAGTGTGCATTATATGTAATGTGCTTGAGTTGTGAAGTGTTCCGGGCAATTGTGCATTAATTGGACGGATCGAATCCGACAAAAGTGTCAACTATGACTACCGATGTAGGAGTACAGAATTGGTGAGTTCACTTTTTTTACTTTATGTCACTGCGTTCATGAATCCGGAAGGACTAGGGTAATCCGTATGAACATGAAAACGCTTTATCATAGTTCAAACTCTAACATGCTATTTTTCTCTTTCCCCGACCGAGTCGCAGATCAAGTCATTGCGGAAGTGAAAACAACCCTAATTTTAATGGCGGGGGGGGAGNGGGCGAACAAAACCATTTCTATCCAAACCGTCTGGCTCAATCTGTGAATACAATTAATCAATCAATAAGTGTGTGTTTGGTAGTTTGGTAGACTTAACTAAAATGGGCAAGCAGACAAATAACACGAGGACTAGAAATTCGTATCAGTCTTGTTTTATTTGAAAACATGGGTTTTATCTTTATTGTTGTCGCACCTAACGATCGAATACAATTTTTGTGTCTTGGTTACAACATACAGTAGCTAGTAGCTCTCTCGCGCTCCCGTCCGATCAAATTTTAATGGGATTTGTTCGATTTTGTATCCTTCTTCACTCGATCGATTCGGGATCTTTGACCTCAGCACAGTTTTATTCCCACTGTAACTGATGAACTATTATGTTGTTTCGGATGTCTACTACCTATCAATAAAACTCACTAGCCTGACCCAGAGTATAGGCTCATTAAATTGCTTCTACTGGCAAACATTTCCCTGTTGGTTTAAAACATGTATATCGACAGAATATGAGTCGCGTACGTTGGATAGTCGCTTGATTATCTGATCTATCGCAGTACCCGAAGGGCAGTACTGTTCACATGGGGCTATCAACATGGAGATGATTCAGACAAACGTACGAGTAGACCATGCTTGGAAACAATTTGTACTCATTTTTCAATTCCCCTTTGCTAACTTTTTGCCCCATTTCCTAATCATTGTATCTACTTCGTGAGCGTATGTGCGGGCTGGCGGGCGTCTGTGCGTGCATACGCATTAACCTTGCATGGAAAACACTGGGAGATTTTGTCGAGTCTCTTATATACTACTTATTGTAAACTGTGCAATTAGGATGCCTAAGTCACAGTTGTTGTGAGTAGTAGCATCCAACCCACTCATAAACATCTAATCATAGACTTGATTAATAAATGGACTGGTTCGGAAAGAGCTGTCCAAACAAATTAACTTGGTGTCTCAAATGAGGTTATTTTGACGAAAATACACTTCCTGTGAACGGAAGGTTATTGACTACGCAGGCCTGACCGCGCTATCGGTCTCGTGCCTCCAGGGAGATTTGTTGAGTCACCCATTTGCTAGTTATTGTTCGTCTGACGACTTACATTAATTATTTTATTTAACCTTTAAAAAAGAAAACAAGTTAACTCTTTCATCCTGCACTGATGGGATATCAGTGAACGTGAAAGACAACAAGCGAGAGAGAGGGAGGGGGAGATCATTTCCCAAAAGAATTTTGTCCTGAATTTTCTATCCACTAGAGCACTGAAAAATAAAACAATATCCCGTGAAATGTGCGTCACTTTAGGATAACTTGTATCTATCTAGCTAATTGACGGAGACGTGGTGGTCTTATGCACATATATCACATGTATCCCTGCCTATGAGGAGGAGCGAACAAGGCAGACTGGAGTGAACATTCAACTTTCATTCAACAAGAGGAAAACTAGTGAGAACTGACAGAAATTCTTCTACCTGTTTCACTGATTGACTACCACCAAACGGATTGGCATGTTTGGCATGTTATGTAAGTACCCACACGTGTGGATTGCACTATTTCTGAACGCTGTTCACACCGACCCGATCAGGAACACAAACTCGCTGCCTCATCTTGACTGAATCAAACTCGATAAGGTGGAATGCCGGTTTATCTGTTCCCACCCACGTAGTCAGACACACAGTGCACTTGTGACACTTTGATTGCACATCACGTCACGTGATTTGCGGACTGCTCTAGTGTGAAGGAAAAATTGGTTCGAATGCCATTTCCTCGTCACGGGATACCAATGAAAGAAGAACACTCATGCACTGATTATTCATTTCGATGATTTTGTCCAGTTGTTAATTTTCCAACCAGGAAGGCAATAACGTGAAACAAATTCTTTAAACCTATCTCATGCGTGCTTTAAATCATGATCTGTACCCAAAATTGATTTTAACCTCATATTTGCCTGGTTCCATCAATGGTTCCATATTTTCAAAATCAACGCATCCTAAGGAACTGGCTTTTGTTTTACCTCATCAATCGGTCTCCTTGTACGCGGTGAACAGACCATATGAGATCAAACAGAGGCGTCACGGTCGTAAAAACAATGTTTTGAAGCTAACTGAGTGGTTGGTCTGCAGCAGCAAATCATTGCACCGTGAAAAACGGTCCACATGATTTCATAACTTCTCGAACAATGCACTGGAAATGGATCGATACGCTCTCAGTGCAGAACTGCTTTTCTCTTCCCAACAAACATGTGCTAGATGAACCGAACAAAGTCTGGTTAGACTGTTTATCCTAACGTTTATCGAAATTTAACTTTGAGAACGTTCAACAACAATGCGTACGATGTACAGACATAAATCTTAAGCTATGGTTTTGAGAGCCTGATCAATTCTGGCCAAATAAATGATGTCGACCGGTAAACTGATTGATCAAACTACAGCTTTCAGGTGTTACATATATCACGCGTCGATATCGCATGAACTACGACTCTCAGAGTAGGGAACGCTGTGATTGTGGTTTCAATAGTCCATCAGCAGAATGAGCAGAATTAGATGGTAATCTGTTCACATATCCTTTGTTTGACAACCCCAGTGAATGGAATTCACGCGATATGCAGACAAAAACAAAATATGGTTGCTTACACAAGAAATTGTTCTCGTACGCAGACTGAGAAGCATTAGACAGCTGTTTTGATTTTTGTGGCAACGGAGGGGCTCGTCAGTAGTACAAACACATCCACCCAAATGGGGATCGAACATGGTACCTCATAGCAAGCGAAATCTACCCGTACCTCTCACTTGCTAATTGATCTTAAAGCCACATTCATTATTCCAAACAAAATTCTCGTAGATTCCGAACAAAATGACCTGTTTTTCTGCCTGTAATTGCATTCTAGGAATGTTACCTTTTCGCCAACTCAGAAAAAATACTTTATCTTTATTCTACAACACATTAGCGGTTTCTGGAAACCCGCATAAATTAAAAATAGAAAGAAAAACTGCAAGGCAGAAAAAGTCCCATACGCAATGACCGAACTTACTTTGTTGGAGTGCTGCGTTCAATTCCGATCGATCCGGGTCCAGATGAGCCATGGATGCCCATTCCGATTTCCAGCGTCGTAAACACAATAACACATCCTCCGGTATGCTATCCATCAAAAGTTCCCGATGGAACAGTCGTTGCTGTTGTTGTTGTTGGTGGTGGTTTTGGTGTTGTAACAAACCGGCACCGCTTGTACCAGTCAAATAACTTGGATCCCACGACGTGCCGAACAATCCGTTGTCGATATGGTAGTAATGATTCGGGTTATACATTCTACTTATGGTTGAACCCAAATGCGTACCATTCGCCTGGGTCAACGAGATGGGTGGTTGTAGCCCGAACGCAGCTATTTCCAACTGGGTCAAATGATAGAGATCGGACACAATAAAGATCACGGAACACAAAGCCAATACGACCGCAAACAGATTGCGCCAATTTTCCCAGCTGTGACAGATACATTTTTGCGTCCGTGCTCGAGATCGAACTGCACGCACAATATTCCGTGTCGGTTGCCGACGATTCGTGAATGAGTTACCGGTCGGTGGATTTACGCCGGTCGAACTTCGGACTGGAATCCAATGATTGTTTGTGGACATGGCGATCCGCGGGGAGGATGTTCGATTCTCCTCATTCGGAATGGTACAATGAATGAGGTGAAGATTTTCCGCTCCGTCGTGTTGTTCATGTAACACATGTGTGGGAGCGCGGATCATCAAAGCCGGATCACGGACCACGTCCGTGGTCTGGACAAGGAATACGGGAACTTCCTCAAATCCGGATGTACAGCATTGAGATGGGCACAACAAATCCGTGGAGGCCATTCGATACTCCGTTAAGTGAGTGTTTGGAATATCGGATTCCATTATTTAGTTTCTGTTGGCAAACTGCTCGTGATTCACATATTTCTTGCTGAATAAACAAAAAGAGAAAGAATTATCGTGTATTTTCGAGTTCCAATTGAAACGCAGGAATGAGAATGTATCATTCCAAATGAATGCAATAAATTCACTATAAATGGTAGAGCTGTTTTCACCTGGCTAGGCTTCATCTGCATCAGCATCTCCTAACCAACTGAGGAGATCAGTTGCTGACAATACTTCTTTTGAGTTGAACTTTTCTTCGTGATGCTTACACTAAGCGGAATAGATTGATCAACTGCCCGATTGTCAAATGGACAATGTACATGTGTTCTATTTATCAGTTCCCGGTTCCCATCTTATAACCTGGGTCGATGAGTTTATTTAATGTTGGTAAAACCGTACAACAACTGTACCACAGTGCTTTCAGTCCGTACTTCTTTTGATCTTCTGATAAAACAAACTTCATACTTTGTGTAATAGAATTAATCCCCCCCCCCAATCGTCGCTTGTAAATTCAGCGATCCCAGTTGTTAGCACAATGATGTGTGTCTTTGACTTGTTTCCGTTAAGATAAAAACAGATCCATGATTGTCTCCCTCATCCTATCCACTTTCTTCAGTATTGATATTAGTTGTTGGCACTATCTGTTCAAGTCTGCTTGACTAACTCTCCTGTTACAGGCGGTCTTCTAAAAACAAACGGACAAGTTATGTGCTGTCACTACTACTAAGGCACATGCTAGAAACTATTTCCGGATACATGTTCCCTGTGTTGGAATTATGCACACAGATCTGTTCGAGAATGTATGACATACAATGACGGGTTGTAGCTTCTCTTTAGACTCATCACGCTTCTGTCATGCCAGGAAGTGAGAGATAGCCCCAAAATTAAACACACTAAAGCTTTATTGCTGGGTATTTTTCCAGAAGATACAAAAGATTCACGCTTTTAATTCACCGCACATGTATGAATGTTATCGATCATCAGCGCATTTATTACATTAGCCCATTATCTGTTGATTCAAACATTTGTATTGTAAGAGGTATCAAACTTTTGTACACTCCCTGCACTTTTGTTTTGTTAGTGGTTGTCTGACTGGCTGAAGGAATGGATGGATGATCGAGCGCCACTATGTCCGTTCGTTATAAGTACGTACGTGATCAACTCTAATTATACAGAATGAAATTTTATTTTGTCTGATTTCTGACTCTCTGTTATTTAACGTGATATCTATCCGTCACGATATAATAAGTGAATTTACGTGGTAATTTTACTTATGGTAGTCGGGAAGAAGTGGATTTTTAGCATCATATCACAAGGCGTTTGGTTCATTCAACTCGCTTTGGTTGAGCTTCAGATTTATTTCAACTAGACAATAATTTCAGTCAATTTCGGTGTCATTTTACAGATTCTAACAGTTATTCACGTGATCTAGTGATAACAATCACCTAGGGAAACCAAATTCATTAGGAAACTCTCTTCTCAAATAACTCAGTAAATGCTCCCTGTAATCTATCAGGCTGAATAATCATAAAGGCAACCTATCGTCAATAGTGTTAACGTATACATTTAAGTCAGTCTGTGGTCTACTTTGTTCATGACTCTCCTCTTAAAACCTTTCGCTCAGATTATGTATTAAAATGGGGTTTCGTGTATTTCGACTTCACTGTTCGATTCTTGACTCAAAAATCTCTCTGTTCGTAAAGCGAATCGAACCAAAAATATTTGAAATTGATTCTTCTGATACAGTATAGAGTAACTCATGAATATCATTGAGAACAGAAATTTTCCCAAATATGGAATCCTGTCATTAGTTAATCACTTACACTAGTGCTTTTACTGTTCAGTCTTTGCAGTTATTTTCGCCTTCAGGGGATGAAGACAAAATGGGAAAAGTACTTTGTCATTATCATAATCTTAACTGATTTTGATAAGAACCAAGATCCAAGATACTGCTGTATGCATCTGGGCATTAACAATCCGCAATTCCCGTTCCTCTACTGTTTTACTTCTCGTCACATCGCATTCAAATTAAGATAAGGGTACATTTTATAGCACGTTTTCTTCGTGTCCCGAAAGAGATTTTGTTGTTTTCAACTCTGATAAAAAATTGAAAATACTGACTCCAAACTTAGATACTAGTATTACACACGAACTTGACTTCTTAAGCGTCGTTCTCCTTTGACCAAAAATCTATCCACATAAAGATTGTTGAAAGATATCACATTTGTGGGCTTTTCGTTTCAAATTAACCAATAACGTATGTGGAAGAGAGAAACGAAGAAGTTTTAGTAGCCCCGGAATGACTCTTATCGTCCTAAGCTCAAGGTCAACGCAATCTGTGAACTCCGGTGGCGACCGTTTGTACAGTACTCAGGTATGCAACACCATCGTTTGGTCGTATACTCTGCTGCAAGCTCACCATTTTATGGGCCAGTAATAGGGATTTTGGATGGGTTAATGATTGCGGATTGTGCTACATCTTGTGTAAACAATATGGTCGATTGTTTGGAGCAATCCACGAGACTTGTACGTGTTTTCCATGTACACTCTCCTCATTCAGGTTGTCATTGTCAGCTATGCAATGCTTTATAGATTTTTCTGCAGTTCATTTTAACTCTGTTCGGTACCTCATGAGTTTCTTGTTAAAATTATGCATTCACAAAATGTAAGAAGAAAATCATGTAATCATAGGGAAGACTATTTTCTACTTTGATAAAATAGCGTTAGACTCACGCAAACTCAGTTGTTCAGATCCTTTATTTTTCAAAACAATTTACAATCATGTTTTAGGCATAAAACTTTATCCCGAATTTTCGGTATGTTATAGCCCTGTGTGGCAAGTTCTGTCAATTTCAATGAACTGTTTCCACTGAAGTGTCATACAATCTGGCGCTAGCATAATTTCTGGTATATCCTTCTTGAGGAAAATGTATCCTCTTGAGCGATAAAGTGCTTAATCCACTGTACTTCTGCATATTTACACACAAAAAGCGAGTGTATGACAATGAGTATCCTAAAAAGTTTAGGCGATGCAAAAATCGTTAACTATGTAACCTACTCTGTTTCAGTTTAACGGTCAAGCACAATGGTAAATTACTGATAAAAGTGTTTTCCAATATGATGCTTTTCCGGGTATTATTAAAATCATACTGTTTAACTCATATTTCGGTTCTCAAGCATAAGAAAACCTGTAAATACCGAAAGCAGCATTGCACTAACTATCAAGATACCTTAAGCACATCTCTAAATGCACCGATATCGCAAGGGACACACTGGCAGACTTGGTCATGAGCAAACACCTAAATACATAGGAAAAGTTTATTCCATAAAGACCCTCGAAGATTTATCACCCATTGCACAAGGATCTTTAAAATATTGTATCTAAATAATCCATGCGTTCAAGGTTTAAACTTTTATTTTAATGTTAGTTTCAATATTCTTATTTTCTTTTGCCACATCTCGCGCGTCTGCTTGTTGACAACGCGAAACTTTCCGCAGAACTACAACAAAAAATAGTTGATAACCTCACTTTCACTTTACCTGATTTTTAAACTTATATTTAAAAACGTGGCGTAAAATGCTAAAAGATCACGGATTTGGTTGCATGAAACTAGCATTGACTGGATTTAAATCTAAATAAAATGCAATCTTTTAACTGTATGATTCCAACACTAAAAACTTAATTTTTGTGCCATACTTAGACTATGAGCATAATTTAAACAAGAAAAACCAAAACAAACTAACGTTGCATTCTACCTCAAAAAACATTATTTTCCAAGTTTTGTGATTTTTGTTGAATTAACTCGATGTTTCTCGGAGTTTGATCTCTAAGAGTAATATAAGGAATACATAAGGAATAATATAAGTCCGTCGGAAAATGTATTCATGATAAAAGAATACAATGTTTTTATGCGATAAATAGCACGTGTTTGAGAGAAAATGTGATTCTTCGAGTGAATGAAACCCCTTCAGGATATTTTCACCGGTCATGAGACTGAATTGATACTTATTTACATGTATGGGGTTCATCAAAATAATTTATTTATATTTCCTCTATATTTTAACCATTTCAAGTTGTAAAAGTAACCCACAAATTTAATTATTGCCCTTATTCTCAACTAAAATATTTACCTTTTGGCATACAATATACGGGTATCAGTCAGCAGATTCAATGATTCAGCAACCTTTTAAACAGCGTTGGCTGTCTGTGTAATAGCTTGAACTGAGTAGCTTGATATAAAACTGGGCAGTTAAATTTCACGTTTTATCATTCCTTTTTGAATGCTCTTGTTCGCTCATAAAAAGGAGTAAGGAACGTTCATATTTGCAATTTCTTGTTGATATCATGTGTACAAAACATTTTATTTTGGGTTTATGCATAAACTTCCTGTAACTTAACAACTGAATATATAAGCTTCCCCAGGATAGATTCACAAAAACCAGTTTCCTATTTCACATAAGAAATGTACTACAATTTGCAAGCAATACACAAGGAATAGATAGCTTACAGCTCATATCTGTCTATTTGATTACAGACAAAAAGTTAAGTGCAATAATACAAGTGACGGTTTCTTCTAAAGGGAAAATTTAAGTTAAACATCTTGCTAATGATATATACTATTAGTCATTTATTTTTATGGCATTTATTTTATGATTAAAATATGCAAAATCATTATTTGCTTCAATTTATTATGTATCGGTAAAATAGATAAAAGTGGAAATACCGACATCTTGCGGGCAGTTATTTAGCAAGGAAAGGTATTTGAAAAGAAACCACTAGTCAAATTAATTTCAGTTGAATTCTTGGAGAACACCTACATTCAGAACGTTTTGAGGCTTAGCGCATGTTTTCAATAACTTTGAAAAAGTCAAATCTGCAAGAGCATTTGTACCAGTTGCTCCTTTTTGTTCCATTTACTTTTTTATTTTACTTAATTAAACGTTTTATAAACCATTTTCAATAATGAGAACAAAACCAGTAAACTTAAAACGTTAGTCAA